CTTTCCCTGTATAGACAATGATTCACCCAGATGTACTGGGTGACCTAGAGAAAGATGTTGCAGTAACTCATTTCATAGCTATGCTAGTTTTATTCATTTTGTAGTACCGAAAATAGTTGAGCTTTTTAAAGAGATGCAGTAATTTAGAAGCAGATCTAGAGGAGAGAGGAAGACGCTTGAGTGGATTTAGCGTTATTAAAGTTTTAGCATCAAAGTTTAGGGGGGAAAAAAAAAGTTACACTCTCAAAATCCCACCTTAGCAACGTTTTAAATGTGGAAGGACCTGAAATTCACTGCACATCTCCCTCTTTGGCCTGAGCTTTTCTGGGCACCTGCAGGGACGGTTCTCTGCGTGCACAGAAATGCCCAAGCCTGTACAGCTTAGGTGTCTAGTTCCTGGATCCAGAAAGTAGGCGGAGCAGCACCTATATCCCCTTAGGGGCCTGATTCAGCATGTGAGCCAAAACGTGTTGACAGAATTGGGCCCCCTATGCAAGAAAACGTCATCCCTTCAATTTTTCATACAAGGAGCAAGGGTTTATCTGATTTGTAAGCTGTCCAACAGGTTAGAACAGTCCCTGAGAAAGCTGAGGACTTGGGTTGAGTGGCCTCCTCAGCTCAACAGGATTAGCGCCCAAATCTTCTGTCTCTCAGGGAAGTGTACCAGGGTGAGCCTGGGTGGAGGCACCTTCCACGCCTCCCTCGGCAGCTGCTCTGCTGCAGAAAGGAATGCAGTCTTTAGGCTATTACATAAAGGAGGGTGTGGGCCCTCTCCCCTGGCCATGGTTGAAAAGGCAACCTGCGTAGCTCTCAGAGAGCAAAAGTATAGGTGTCCACCTTCAGTGGGATGTTCTGGATCCTGCTGGACAGTCTTGCTGCTTGGGCTCCAACGTCTGATCTCTGGCAAGTGCGAGTTGCTGACACACCTCTGGGCTGCAGGCAAGCTCTAAGCCATTCCTCACCCAGCGTGCAGCTCTTCTAGATAGCCTCATGCGCGTCATTTTCCCCCAGCCTTTGTATTGGGAGCCTCAATGCCTAACTCAGGATTTTAGGTGCCATTCAGAGGACAAAGTCCTTAACTTTTGGTAATACTGAACTGCACATCAAGAGAGATACTGCTCCTCGGTAATCACTCACTGCGGCGTTTAAACTCTTGTGAGCAAAACTGTTTAGACAGGCCTGATAGCCTAAGGTAATAAGCTTACTTCATAGGTCATCATTAGAGAGCTGTCCAGGCATCTCTAGCAAGTGGTCTGAGTCTGGAAGCTGCTTCTGTCCATTGTACAGGCCTTATATAGGAAGCCAGGGTCTGGGAGGCTTACGCAGCTGGCTGTCTGAATGACTCAAATTTGAATGGTAGAATGGTATGGCAGGCATCTGCCTAGTGTAGTTACCTACCTGCATGGTAAAGGTGTATCAAGGAAAGGCTGGAATGAGTGGAAGACCAGTTTTCTGTGTAATAGATGTTGGTATAGAAGGCAGTGGAGGAAAAGATATTAGCCAGAATAGCCTAGGAAAGAAAAGGAGGAATTGGGGGGGGTGGGTGGGGGAACGGGACTAGGCATTGCTACTGTAGAGGAAAGAGTAGAAAGGTATTTGAAAAACACCGTGATTTATTCCAAATTGATTTTAAGACAGCAGTTCTGCAAGTCGGGATTTAAGCTGAAGCCTGTTGGAGCTACGGTGATCAGTAAGCCTACTCAGAGTTTGAGACTAGCTAGTTAGTCGATAAACTTGTAGAATCTGGGTCTAAAATATTTTAGTTTCGTTGCTTGTGTTCTGTAGCAAGTCTGGCAGTGATGCAGCAGCTGAGCAGCTTTTTGGTTATGCCAAGGCTGTTCTCAATGGGTTGCACTTGCATATTTTTGCAATGCAAACTTGTAGCCATGTTATGTCGGGTAGAATTTACCCTCAACAGATCCATCTGCAAGAACCACGGCCCTGGGCTACTTGGTGCTCACATAGGGAAAGCAACTAATGTATTTGTGTCTTCTCCTTCTCTAAATCATGCAAGCCGGTATCAAATTCACATGCTGGCTAGCTTCCAAAAGGAGGGAGGTGACTCTTTAAAGACTCCTTCATAAAAATAAGAAATCTGTTCTCTTTTTGAAATTAAAAATTGATTTATAACAAATTGAAAACGGTTGCTTTTTGTCCTCTAAAAATGATAAAGATAGTGCTTGGAAGAATGACTGAAAACACTCTACAAGATGTTTCTTACATCACAGTAGCTGATCAGAAGAGGGAGGATAGAAGTAAAATAAAAAACCATCATGAATATGTATGAAGTCAGTAGAACCCTGCTTTGATTTGAAATATTGGTGGTCTCTTTTCCCATTTCCAGTACCTATACTAGATTTACACGGGTAATTTCTGTCAATGCTAATGGGGATTATAATGTAAATCCCCCATGCCTCAGTGGGAAAATAGACCCTCTGGTTTTCCGTCAGGAGCTTGAGTGCCTGCATTGCTTTCATTAGGAATGCATTATATTGCAACAGGAAAGATGTACAGGTATTTACTGATGGAATTTGCTTTGTCTGCATTTTTACATGTAATTCACCACGATGTAAAGTCTTTGTTAAAAAGAAAACAAAAGCCAACGTCCGTATCCCCTGCTGTAGTCTTTCAGATATTATTTGCAGAGGGCCACTAAAATGCTGGATTCTGATCGAGAGAGAGGACAGGCCTCGTCCTACAGAGCTTATTAGTTAAAAGCAGCAGAGAGAAACAGCAGGGAGAAAGCGCTGGAGATGCCCGGAGGAAGGGGTGATTAGGATCTTCTTGCTATGTATTTCTCTTATTAAAACTCTCCACATTTGCTGGGCTTCCATGTTTGTGAGAAGCAGGTATTCCGTTTCTGGGATACCTGTTTGCCTTACTCAAAGGCAAGGACCTGTGCTGGTACTACTGAACTTGAAAGTAGCCTTGAACCTCATCTGTTTCAAAAGTCTATATCTAATGCGTAGGTAAAGGGTATTGTGGAGTCAAGTTTAGGGACTCTGACTAATCTGCTGCAAGGCTAAAGATAGTATATTTTGTTCCTATATGCCATTAACAATGGGCTAACCACTTTATGGTCCATTTAAAAGATAAAATCCAGTCTGAATAGACAACATACAAAGGAAGGATGTTATCAAACTAAGCAGAGTCATACTGAGTCAGTAACCTGTTTTTGTTTTTTTTTTTGTTTTAATTTGAGGCTCTCGGCCTCTTTTCCAGATTGCTTTATACTTTTTAAAAAAAAAAAAAAAAGTTAACATCTGAAACCTTGAAGAGAAGAAACCAATCAACCTGTCACATTCAAGTTCGGTAGATTTGCAGAGATTCTGATGCAGTGGTCCTTCAACTACTCCATTTATCTTAATGCAGAATTAATAGTTATGTCATGGATGATATTTTAAAACAGCAGCGTTTATAATTGCAGTCGTGGAGAAAGTCTAAATATCTGAGGAAAGGAGGAGATTGATACTCAGGAGATGTAAGCAATCTTTAAGTGACACATCAGTTTAGTTTCATGAGTAACTCACTCTTGGGAGGATAACCACCAATTTTCTCAAGCCTAATATATGTTGCCTCAGGTGTGAAGGACTGAATGGAAGGAGGTGGAGAACAAGTACTTGGGAAGGGAGTTCTGAGGATGGAGAAGCACATTGGAAGAACTAGAAAAGCAATCAATTCAAATGACTCTAAGCACATTTTTAAATTAGTAGGGAGTCTCCCATCTGGCCTCAGCTTCGAGCAGATACCACTAGGTGTTTTGTTGTATTTCAAAATTCGTATTTGTAGTATTAAAGCTAGGAATACAGTTACTTTAAATTGAAGCACAGGATACAGCTATTAAGGCAAAGCATGAAATCTCTGAACTGCTACAGCCTATCCTATTTCAAGGTCCTCCGTGTAAAACTTCTGGAAAGCAAGGCCATAGCAAAAGCATTGCAAAGGAATAGAAATAAAGGTATGTCAGTTCAGTTAAATACTAGAATGAATTACTAGAAAAGCAGAGTCTGTCGACCTACTCTGCTAATCCTCAAAGAGAAGCTATGGAAAACCTGTCTAGTAGGTCAGTTTTAGAAAACCTGCCATAGAAAACAATCCCATAGGAGCAAACAGAAGAAGAGATTTGAAAGCTTTCCTTCTGGTGATTCTTCTCCATTCTGGGTTTTTTTTTTTTTTTCATTCTTTGAATAGAGGATTTTATTTTCATTCTCAATTCTTCACGTGATGAAGAGTCACGTGCAGCATTCAAGCAGTTTAAAAATTCTTAGACCCTCATTTAATGGTCAGTATAAACCTTTACTATGCAGACTGCTCTTCATTCTTTGTGAGGCTGTTCCGGGAGATGGGCTTTTTTTGTGCGTGATAAAGTGACTATGTTTATAATGAGGTTTGGTGCTATTGTTACTGCAGATGAACTAGCCTTACAATAGCGAGCCCTGCTGTGAGGAGTGCATTGTATTCACACTTTGTGTAGTCTTCTCCAGCCCGTGTAACATCACATTCCCTACTGTATATAATTGCATCTACTGGTAATTGGATAAAACCTACTGGCCTCCTCCTCTTAAAAGTGAGGATGTTGAAAAGTATTTGCTTTCTTGCTTTGGTTCTGATTTCGTGATTGCATATATCGATGTTAGGTTCAAATTCCTGATGGCAATTTCTGTTTGTTTTGTGTGTTTTTGTGTAGGTTACATTGTTTTCCCCCCCATTTCATTCCTCTCTTTTTCAGGAGAAATTCCAATGGCGAATTCATCAGTTGGACCAAACTGCTGTACATGTAATTGCCAGTCAACTCTACAGGCTATTCTTCAAGAGCTCAAGACCATGAGGAAATTGATGCAGATTCAAGCAGGTACCGTGATCAGTCCCTCACATGCATATCTATGACTAGCATCCTGTTTTTAGGAGCAATGATCAGATAAGCTAGAAGTCTCTCTGGAGGTTCAGGAGAACCTCATTTGTTGTCTGCTTTTTTGACGTGTCACTTAAAGTCAAATTTTCACAGGCTCTTTTGGAAATTTAATTTTTGATCCTCTGGGCCTCAGATGCTCACCTGAAACATGGGATATTATCTTGTAAGAGTCTTTTAAAGCTAAATTAAATAAAAGGCTGTAATGTAGTTAAGTACTCTAGTAATGGGAGTTGTGTGGGCAGGTTGATATGCCGTATCCCCTCTAGTTTTTGTTTGCTTGGTGTTTTCATTCAGATGTACAAAATGCTACTTTATCTGTTATCACCCAGTTCACTAATCTTAGAAGGAAAAATTAATTTGGAAGGCCACCTAAAATTATTGTGTAGCAGTTTTCGTTCAAAGACCTTTCGGGTTTCAGCTCCGCAGTAGCCTAAGCTGAGCTAGGTGCTGCATGCTGTGGCCTGTACCCTTCTTTGGGCTGCTTCTCCAGTCCTCTGTTAAGCTGTTTCTACTGGCTGAACTAGCAGATATCTGTTCGTTGTCTGGGGAGAACTAACGGGGATAGTTTTCCGCTAGGTTAGGAGCTGAAACAGAACAGTGCAGAGCCAGAGGAGCGCTAGAGCCAGCAAGATGATGAGACCATGGCAGCCAACAGTTAGGTAGGTCATTGTAGGCTGCCATGAAGCTGCAGCCGCTGTGCTTCGTAAAAATTAGTGTTAATACGAATGGGGAATTGGAGACATAGATTTTGTCAGTAGACTTGAGTTCCCTGTCCATCGTGACTGAGGGGGGTGGAGCCACGGAGGTTTTTCTCCTAGAGTGGCTAGGTAAGACCCCTTTAAGAAAAGGGAGTGTTGAGGAATTATATGAAATATGGGTGGAGTGAAGGGGTGACTAAGCTCGTTGTGTCTGCTGTGTATAGTGCTTGGGTGAGCTAAGAGAAAAATCGGACAGGTTTTGTAACATAGTACAAGTGAAAATGCTTTTAAAAAAAGTCATGGGTTTACGAAGACGTACGCGAAGGCCCAGTTTTACAGTCTTTGCCTGGACAAGGAATTCTTTACACAATTGCACTGATTTAATTTAAATTACGTGCCTGATTAAAAATGGCTTGTGGGTAAGAGATGCAGGACTGGGGTTTGTGTCAGAAGAGCTGGCTCCTCAACAGCAGGAGCATTTCTTATTTATTATGTACCTACAATATAAATACCTTGTTAATTAATGAGTGTCTTGATTAAATAGGCCTGGGAATAGTTCATAGTTTCTGGTATGCGTGAAAAATAGCTTTTGCAGAGAAAAAAAAAGCGCTTGCCGTTTTTGTTGCTAAAAGAAAAGAACCTAAAATGCAAACATGTAAGTGAAAGTGTAATAACTTATTTTGATATTCAAACACCCTTCTGTCTGAATGGCAGACTACAAATTACAACATTTTAAATCCCTGCCAGAAATGAAATATGCCAGAAATCATTTAATAAACAGCATCATAGGGGTTTTTTTTTTCCAGAGCTTTGTAGATGAGCACCATTTGTAGTTCATTTGTAGCTTGAGCGTCTTTCAGTTGGACATGGCAAAGCGCAGATACTTAGCACCTTTGGGGGTTTTGTTTTATTTTTTTTCTTCTTGACCTTGATCTTGTCAACTGATCCATACAGACAGATCCTTGTATTTGCCTGAGATTCTTCTTGAGGACTCATTCGCCTTGATACGGGTTCAGGATTGGTGCCTTAATCTATACAAATTTTTCTGGATTGTGAAAAATGCAAAATATTAATATGAGCGTAAAATAAGGTCTGTTAGAGTTCAGATATAACCCATGAACTCTCAGTTTCTCTATACAGGCAAAACAAACTGATATATAAATTTGAGTTACCTTTTTTTTTGTAGATATTAAACTATTGAATAGTATTTTCACTCGTTCTTGACATAATGGTACTTGAAATGTTCTGGCTGAGCTAATTAGCTTGGTGGCTGCATTCAGAAAGCAACTGTAATTGGATTAGCACTTGTGTTATCTTATTTTATCAGTAAAAGATGCTCAAAGACAATGAGGTTCTCAGTCTTTCAAGAAGGTATACAAATTAATCATTGCTTAAGTCCGTCATGTCAGCAACCATCCAGTGGTCACTAGGCAAAAGAGCCACGTACTCCTAATTTTCCTAAAACACTATTCATCATACCGCATAGTGGAGCTCAGTGTCATTATCCCCATTGTACCGATTGGAAAATTATGCAAAGGTGATAAAATGTAACTGTTTCACATGCACAAACAGCACTGCAAACGGTATCATTTATCCAGAAGATGAGTTCAGCGTGTCAGTAGTTTAATGGTGCATCTGTGTGGTTTTACATGTGTCTTTGTCTATAAATTTAATTCATTACTTCCTTTCATTCAGTTGGGACTCAAAACAGACAGCAGCCTCCTATTCCTCTGATTTGTGCACAAAAGTCGACAATATCAAGAAAGAGAAATAAAAAGAAAAAACTGCCCCTCAAAACCGTTGAACCAATTGCCATGAATAAGAAACCCAACACTGCAGAGAATGAAAAGAAGCTTTTGGCAAACTCTGAACGGTCAAGTCTGCAAGCAGTTGAGCCCTCCCTAAACCCAGAGACCCCTGTTTCAGGATTTGGAATTATCCTTGAATCAGCTTCATCAGATGTAAGTTAATGTTTTGATACGTGGCATGACAGGTGTTTAAAGCACTGACTAATTCAGGAGAATTAATGCTGATGTCAGCTTGCGATGTGTTCCCTCTTCCTGTTAAAATAAACTAGCAAAACTTGGGTGGATTTGAATGGGGATGATGGAGAGAGACCTGGGGAGTGCTGATGACAGAGTTGTTGGCTTTTTCCACTTTCATGAGCTCGTAGCTCTCTTGAATTTGAGGCTCCCTGTTGTTTGAGCTTGCAGTGGAAACTTGTTGCTCTTCATCTGTCTTGCTGCCAAGAGCCACTGTGAGATTGGGAGCTGTGGAAAGTGTTGCGTGTCTAAACGATTCACAACCCTGTCATCTGCTGATTAATGCATGTAGTCCACACATACGCCCTTATCCTGCCAGGATGGGTTTCTGTGCTTCGTTTTATGCCTGACTGGTCGCACTGGCCACATGGGACTGCTCACCTCCATAAACTTCATAGCCAAGTCTTTACTGAGTTGGGTCATTTAGCGTTCATCGCTGTGGTTGCCAGATGAAGAAGGCCTTGACACTACTGACGATGTCAGTGTGACTAAAGGGGCCAAAATTTGCTGTCCTTAAAATGGGTCCTTGCCACATGTAAAACTGCAGTAAGCATATTTTCTTGAGTCACAGAACATGTATACGTTTATAGAAGTTTCACGTAACTGGTGCCTGCTCGGCTTTGTGTAATGACCAAACAGCATCTTCTGAACAATTCACTGATGAGTAGTAAACTGATCATTAATTTCTCTAATATAATTATAATTTTCAGAAGGCAGGGATTTTCTTTACTGTGAGGTAGAAAAACATAATTAAATTCTGTATCAGTGAGTGTAAATGAAAACAATGTTGCAGATAATTTTGTACCTTTCTGGAAGTGGGAACTAATAATAAAAAAGAGCAGTCATGATAATTCAGTTATATAGATGCAAGCCACACCACTAATTAGATTGCAGTGTCATGCCATAGTGTTTGTGCAGTGATATGAAGTAACTAGTTTAATGCTTTTTCAGAGTTTCTCCTCTTGTAGTATTATGGTTAATAATGTTTGAGGGAATGATTTGGGGAGGGGTTCATAATTTTTCTCCAAAATGTAATTTATGCTTATAATTTTTCTCTGTGGCGTTATTTTCAGCTTGAAATACAGATTTGAGAACAATTTTGTGCTTGCAATGGAATTTAATTTGGTTTTGTGGATGTGTTCCGTTGCTAGACATAATTCTTCGCACATGCCAATTTGCACTTAAAACAAACCTCCCCCAAAAACACGTGGCTCATAAATCAGATTCTCATCTGCCTTCCATGCTTTGGCCTGTTTGCCACAGTAGCTGGTTGAATATATTTACAGAGTCAGAACCCTAAGATAAACAAATTGATTTTGTTTTGGTTTGGGGAGTAAAACAGTTGAGTTCTGAAAATAGATATATCTAACAGTGAAAATAAAATGTGACCTTAAACATTTTGAGCAGGCTAAATATAGTAAATTCTTTCAGAATGAATGGTGGTATTATCTTTTTCTGTTTATTCATAAGTATCTCTAGTACGCTCATGACCAACGTGTCTGAGTGCCTAAAGAAACTGAAAGACATTTTACACAACACTATAAATGCATATTCTTTTTAGAATATTGCGTGCGTTGTCTGTAGTGTGTTGACGTGTCGTGCCCATGCCAGTACTACCGCCTCCACTGTTATTTTCTTCACTTTTCTTCCACTTTAAGTTGATCTCCATTTCATTTGTTTAGAAGCGAGGCCACAGCGCTAAAACTAGGGGAATTAGTTTGGATTTGTTGAGACGTGAAAATGCCATTTATGGAGATGGAAGGAGGTCTTGATTTGGATCTGTGGCACCAATTCTTAATCTGGCCCATGAATCAAATAACCTGCTTTTTACATGTAATGATCTGTTACTCTTAGGTAAACTTTCTTGTATTTGTTTTACTGTTACAACATAAAATTTTTGTAAACTGGTTAAGGCTTTGCATTTCTAATGAGTTCAACATCCTGAAATGTCTGGGATTAAATCTAATTTGCTGCCTGCACAGCAAAAGCTTGTGGCCTTCAGGTCTTATTTATATCATTGCACATGAATAGTTTACCCACCAGTTCTTTATGCCATGATCGTTACCTGCTAACAAATGCTTTTTCTTTGGACAAATCACGTTCAAAGTGATCATAAAGCTCAATTAGGTACTGATTGTCTTTGATTGAAGAATAATTTGCTACTAAAGGAAAGCAAGAAGAAATCAGCGTTTTACCTTCAGATTATTTCACTGTTGTTCAAATTGTTTCATTTATTAAAAACAAAAAAGTCGCCACTGAAATAATGTTGACTCCTCTCTGCTGATGCACAGGTGAGCTTTGAGATGTGTTTTTCATCCATATAAGTGAGAATGGCTTGTCTGTGCTATGCTGCTTATATCACCGAGGTCATATTAGATTGCTAAGGTAGGAACCAAGACCAAAGTAACAAAATAGCATAGGATACCTTCATCACCTTGGCAACTGCATTCGGTTTTCTGAGTGACATGAAGTAGGATTTTTTCCCAGGTTGTAAACTTGGCCCACGTTTATTTATACTTGCAAATCTTTCCCGTCACCAAAAAGTTTAGAAGTAACACATATTAAAAACCTACCTACACCAGAAGATTGTCAAATAGAGTAACTCTGGCTCTGTTGCTGGATCTGGCATTTTGAAAGTTCTCAAGGTAAAAAAAAAAAAAAAAAAAAATCTAACACTTTTCATCTAGACCAAGCTGAAAAGCTTCTGTGCTTTTTAGGGTTTTTTTTTTAGTATCTGTATATTTCAAGATTCTTCATCCTGGCTTTTCAAAGCACTGTAATCTTCAGCTTTTTATGTATATATGTCACAATGCATGTGCATACCCAGTGGTAGGATATGCTTTGAAAATATTCTGCTTGCTGTAACTCTCCTGCTATTGCTTAGAAAAATCATAGGAAAAGAGTTGCATGACCAAACCCTACTGAGATTAGCAGCCCTTCCTTCTAGCCAGACTCAAGAAGTTTGCAGGTGTTTTGATATGAGATGGCATTTGCTCTTGTTCTGTGAACATCTTTGAAAATGCACCTATGCTGTTCACTGGTGGATATATTTTTTTACTTAAGGAAGAAAAACTTGTTAAAAGCAAGCCTGTAATGTTATCTTATCTTCTTACATCATGACCACTGATTTTTTTCTGTTGCCTTCTTCCAGATAATATCCTGAAAAATTGTAGTCTTTTCATGATGCGTCTTCGTTCTAAATATATAATTATTCCATACAGACACCCCATGCAAGCATTATGTGGCACAGCCATTGTACTAGAAAGTACTGTAAATATTGTTCATGTAATTTCTGATATGTATGGGCAGGGGCAGCAAAAAAACCTCTCAGTAATGGGACTTACTTGAAGGCCTTTGTCTGCTTTGGCCCACGATGTACTTGAGATGACTCTACTGAAATACAGGATGATTTTCTGCCTTTCTCGTTCTCTTCCATCTTGCTTTCAGGCAGTAGCTTAAATCTGTGATTTACCATTGAGGGTTTTTGTGCTAAAATAAGCTGTTTATATAACATCACCCTGTTCTCGGGATGCATTTTGGGGGATATGAGAAGGAGGGAGATAGGACTGACCAACAAACACTGGCCATCGAGACGATCTCTAACTCATCATCTACTTTTATTCGTATGAGGCATAGTTGCAGTAGAAGCCCTCCTAGGAAACTGCGTGGAAGGTACTGGTAACCCTGCCATCGTCCTTCCTGGAAATGCCTGGCTGCTCCAAAGCACGCTCGTTTTCACCGTTTAGCGGTGAAGCAAGTCCATAAAATGGTTAGATAAATGTCCAAAAAGCATTGTATAGGAATACTGTGCTGGAATCATCCTCTAGCCTGTAATTATTATCCAATATTGAAAGGTATTTCTTGTCTTTCCTTATTGCTAGCTGTATGCCTAGAAATAATGTCAGTGATTGTTAACTATTACAGTGGGTAGACACGAGTATGATTATTTGATTTGCCTTTTAAGCTACTTATTGACTGATGGCTTTTGATTTCAGTGAAGTAGGCGGCTGTGATACTCAATAGCTGGAAAAAGATTCATGGTTTGATTATTTAAGTGATTGTAAAGTCTCACCGGATGCATGATTGAAGTAAAATAACATGTTTGAATGCTATTTTAATTAAAACATTTGTATTCTTTCGGTAGCCAAAAGTGCAACTTGCAGAAGGCTTTGATGTCTTCATGCCTAAATCTCAACTGGACTCTATATTATCAAACTATACTCGCTCAGGAAGTCTACTGTTTAGGAAGCTGGTCTGTGCGTTTTTTGATGACAAGACTTTGGCTAACTCTTTGCCCAACGGCAAAAGGAAAAGAGGGCTCAATGACAACCGAAAAGGACTAGACCAAAATATTGTGGGTGCAATAAAAGGTATGTTTTTCTTTTTCATGTGTGTAATTTGAACATATTATGAACCTAGGGAGAGTGTAAAGGGGTTAGTATTTGTGATGTGTGTTAGCTCTATTAAAATATGCAGTCTTATATTTGTTCCCTTTCATTCACTTTTTAAAAATAGCATCTACAGGCACAGTTTGTGTTAAGTTTAAGCTGGTGATCCCAGTTTCGGAAGTCAGCGTCTAAGGTTAGAATCTCAATGTTCATTTAAAATAACATTTTTTTTAGATATCAGAGATGCAAAGAAATCTTGAAAACATAATCACAGCGTAACTGGTGGTCTTCTATCAAAATTCTGAGGCTTGCTCTCCAAGTGCCTGTGTCTGCTCTGTAAATAGTTTAGTAGTTTGTGGCTGGATTGGGGTGAGAAGGAGGAAGATTATCCTGGGGCAAGAGATGAGTTTGATGTTCCTGAGAACTGTGGTTCCCCTTCTCTTGTGGGAGTGAATTTCTTAATCAGTGTGAGGATCCCTCGCTGGGTAGTTTTTCTTAGTGATCGTGACTTTCAGGGTCCCAGAAGAACATGTCTGCCATCAAACTCTGTTGTCCAAACATGTGAAGGCTTGCTATTAGGTCAGAGACTCAGAGCTGGATTGTATTAGTTTGATATATGAGGAAAAATACTCATTATCAAAAAGACAGGCTGTGTCGCTTAAGTAGAGCTTACTTTAGGGCATGTGACTTGTCCTGAGATACAGGTTACTTAGCTGAAGAGATGTAAGGCAGTGAGAAGAGCTTCTATAAGTACGCTGGCAACAAAAGGAGACAGAGGAACCAGGGACGAAGGACATGGAAAAGGCTGAGGTACTTGGCTGTTTTTTTGCCTCAGCATTCACTGGTAAAGCACGCCCTCCAAGCCTAGTAGCACAGTCTGTGGGAGTGAACGGATATATACGCTGATGGGGCTGGCCACTGCTCTTGCGAGGCCATTCTCTGATCTTTGAAAGGTTGTGGTGATCGGGGAAGGTAAAAGACACAACTTCAGGAAGGACATCTGGAGCAGTACAAGCCAGGCAGCCTCACCTCAGTCCTTGGGAGGGTTGTCAAGCAAATGTTCTTGAAAGCCATTTCCAAATACATGAAGGACAAGCAGGTGACTGGCAACAGCCAGCAAGGATTTACTGAGGGCAAGTCACGCCTGAATAACTTGAGTGTGTTCTGTGATGAAATGGCTGGCTCTGCGGATGAGGGGAGAGCAGCGGGTGTTTTCTTGACTTTAGCAAGGCCTTTGACATAGTCTCCCGTAGTCTCCTTACAGCCAAACTGATGAGGTGTGGATTAGGTAAGTGGGCAATAAGGTAGGTGAAAAATTGACTGGACCACCAGGGTCCAGTCAAAAGGATTGTAATCAGCAGTACAAAGTCCAGCTGGTACCCTGTTACCAGTAGCATCTCTCAGGGATCTCTAACGGAGCCAGTACTGTTTAACATCTTTGTTAACAACCTGGATGATGGGATAGAGTGTCCTTGCAGCAAGCTTGCAGATGATACCAAACAGTGGGGGGATGGTCCATTCATAGGAGGGCAGGACTGCCATTCAGAGGCACTTCAACAGGCGGGAGAAATGGGCTGGCAGGAACTCCTTGAAGTTCAGTAAAGGCAAATGCTGCAGAGTGTTGCATCTGGCGTGGACTAACCCCATGCAGCAAGACAGCCTGCACCCTGGCTGGCTAGAAAGCACCTTTGCTGCTGACGGAGTCGGACTCTTCCCAGCAGTGCACGACGATAAGACAAGTGGCAGGAGATACAAGCTGGAACGTGGAAAATTTCAACTCGATATCAAGAAAACTCAGCATGAGGGTGGTCAACAGGGCCCAGAGAGGCTGTGGGATCTGCATCCCTGGAGATATTCAAAACTCAACTGGACGTGGCCCTGAGCAGCGTGATCTGGTTGCCCCTGCTTTGAGCCGGAGCTTGGACATAGAGACCTCCAGCGGTCCCTTTCAACTTCACTTCTGTGATTATGGGATGAAGTGTTTGTTGTTGTGGCCGTATCTGAGTCCTAATATGTCTTTCAGAATTTCTAGCAGACTTGGCCTAGCCCCTTCCCTTGACCCTGGGGGGAAAAAGAGGGGGAGCTGTAATTTCAACGGATACATTTTATCTGTGATGGCACTACTAGGTACCACTAGTACCGTGGTACACTACTAACAGTAACAGTGATCTTTATTGGCATTGCTAGTACTGCCCAAATGCTAGTACATGATCCTGTTAGCTTCATAGGGGAGACCATCTGTGAAAGCTGTGATGGAATAAGGTGCCAAGGGTTGATCTTTACTCAGCCTGGCTCCAAAAGCACCCATTTTCCATCCAAAGAACTGGACTGTGGGACACTATGGTTTCATTTATTCAGAGAAATGACTGAGCCAGTATGAAATCTCCATGAGAACAACATCATGTTGTTTGCATTATTTCGTTAGGACGTTCCTCCACCATGCACCCAGATACTCTTTAGTGGTGTGTTAGCCCTGTTCCACGACAGAGATAGAGAAGTGGAGAAAAGGCTACATTCACAACAGAAGTTAGCAGAGAACTTAAAGCAGAGACTGTTTGCTGGAAAATTACTCTTCCTGTCTGAAAACATTTTAACCACCATCTCTACAAGTAATTTAACACTTCTGCCACAGGATGATTAGCCAGGGAAAAATTCTCTCTTTTGACTTTGGCTACGCAGTGGCACTCGTTGAATCCGTTTCAGTGTTTTCCTGTGTAATCGGTTTCCCTTATGAGTCTCATCAGGCTCTCTCTCAGAACTGGGGAGAGAAAAAGAAAGAGTATGCCACTGCCAAACAAGAAAAATTGATATAGGGTTGTTTTTTTTTTTTAAAAAAAAAAAGGCAATCAAAGCTATATACTGTAATTGACACTTTAATTCAAGAGCAGAGCAAGCAAGTTAATGTATCTGCTCTCCAAAGCAGGCAGCAGAGAGAGGTAGGTGTAATTCCCGAGTGCCTGATTCGCAGTTGGTGGCCTGGACACAGCCTCGTGCTACTGGTTGCCTCCCCCCAGGCCCTGGTCGCAAACGTGGATTACTGCTGCATTACGGAAGTAGAAATGTAAGGCATTGATCAGGTCCCTGTTGCGTGCACTGTATGAATTCAGAAGAGAAAGACTATTTCCACCTCGAAAGACCCTATAGTGTTGAAAATCAGACACTGGCAATGTGTGGAGTTACGCTAACTTCTCTGGGAAACCAGAAGAGTTGGTCCTATGTCCTTGCTGATCAGATTGCAGAGGAAAGGATTAAGTTGCAAAAACGTAAAGAATTTGGAGGGTGTGACTACTTTTGGACCCTTTATACCTATCAGCTAGCGCTATTTCGAAAGTGTGTGCGTGTATCTGTGTATAAAAATACCAAAGTTGTCACTGTTTCTTGAATCCAGTGAATACAGTCACACCATTCGTGTGACATCTGTTCTCAAAGATTACAAATTCTTTGAGCTGGGACCGTTTTTTTCCCCTTTGTTTGCCTGTCATAATTGGACACTGGGCTCTGAGACCTCTGACCAAGACTACAATAGCAATACTAACAGTAATAATATTTTTTTTCTATTTCTGCTCGTGTTTACTTTTCACACACCTCTCAGTTGCATGATGAAAATCGATTGCATCGGTTTCACTCTGTTTATAATTTCATATTTTCAGTATAACGTTATTAAATTTGCTGTAAGTATGGCACAGAATTTCCTTTTGTGAATGGATTTAAAAGGTAACATCGATCCTCTATGCAGTATGTTTACGAAATATAAATTTGGACCTAAATGATACTTATTATTCTCAGGAATGGCTTTGTAAAATAGCTTTAAAAAAATCTCTTCCCTCTAGTTTGGCACTACGATAACTGTATAGATTCCTCAAGTGGAAGGACTTGAATCTTTCCTCAGTTTGCTTGCAGCCCTAGAAACAATTCTGAGCATGGAGTAACTGGGAGCAGATCTTCAGTTTTCCACTTCTGCCATATGTAAGGCAGCATTTATGAGCGTCTGCCACATCTGGAGACTCAGTTCCAAGTACACTACTATTTTCCTGTGATATTTTTGTGTGAAATTCATGAACGTAAGACAAAAGATGTAGACGTTTTCTATAGTACAAGTTTTGTAAGTACAAGCTTTGTAACTGTGGTATTATCGTGGGTTTTTTTACACCAAGATGACTTTTGAATGATAAACGTTAAGGCACTGAGTTGGACCCTGTTCTTAACATCTTAGGTTAGGCCATTTAAGTATCCTATTTCGATAAAGTTTGTTTTATAATCCTCTTCTGCCTCCTTTTTTTCAATTCTGGTGGCACATTTAAAAAAGATGATATCTTTTTATTTCAGTCTTTACAGAAAAATACTGCACTGCTAACCACGTGGATAAACTTCCTGGTCCTAGGGACTGGGTCCAGATTCTTCAGGATCAAATTAAACTGGCAAGAAGACGATTAAAAAGAGGCTCAGGTACGTATAGAAATAAAAGGAACAACATGTCAAATTAAAGTCTTAATTAAAGTCTTAGAGCCTTTCTATCCACAGAAGTGGTTTTTTTTTTTCTGCTGGCTATAGTTATGAGTTGTATATGTACGGTCTCTGAAAATCTGACCTCTTAAGGTTTTAGCAGGTTTCTACCAAAGTGTAAAATACAGGGTTCCCTTATAGTAACAAGTTGAAGAGCTTTCTTCGTAGCCAAGTTAAATTAGACTTTTTTCTCAAAGGTTGCCTCTAATCTCTTTCCATTAGCACCCAAAACATCTTCCCAGCGTTTGATGGAATTTGAATCCTCAAGTAGCCACCCCAGCCAGGGTTGTAGGTAAAAGTTTTTAAATTGTGTTATTTGGTCTGATAAGCCACTCACTTTACTGTTAGGACATAACCTAAATCACCTTTCCTTCTAAACCATATGGGTCCGGAAGGACGGATAAGTTTCTTCACATTTCCTTGTGAAAGAATCAGCATCACTGCAGCCAAAAAACCCCTGCTTGTGCCTACGAGGTCTGAGCAACACATAGGAGCAAGCACGCCAGCGGTGAGTAACAAGTAGTTTAGGCAGGGATTTACAGTAAAGCTGCTCAGCTTGGGCCAGGATAACCTGCGTGCTCAGGCCTTGGACCCGCCTGGCAGAGAGTTAGCTCTGTGGTGGAGGCAGAGGGCTGAGCTCTCACGCTGACGGCACACAGCTGTATCGTTTTGCTTGTGAACGATCAGTTCCAGCTGCGAGTGGCAACGTGCAGTCTCAAAAACCCCTGGAGAAATCTTGGGAATCAAAAACCAGTATCGCTGCTCAGGAGATGTGTAATTACTTTATAAACCTTAACTAACTATTCTCCTCGCTATCTTCATGTCTGCAGTCCTACAAGGGGTTTCCCTCGTACAGGGCTTCACTTACTCTTCCCTTCCTAGTGTTTTCTCGAGGGCTTCTCATGGTGAGATTTCCTGCCCGTCTCTCCCATGCAGCCTCTGACACTGTTGTCTGAGGCTCACCTGTGCCAACATCCTTAAACATGTTGCTTCGCTTTTACTGTATTAAGCTGCCTGCCTTTTCCCCTCTTCCCTGCTGCCCTTCCCTGCGATTAAGTGCCTGTTAGTATCTGCTGGTTTAAAGAATGAGAAACCTGATGGCTCCCCAGAGGTTTCCAGTGGTCCAGCTGGCTAAGGAGGGATGAGCTAGACCGCAGCAAATGAACAAACCACGTCTCTCCGGCTCCATGTATGAGCAAGCCAGGGTTTTCTGTCCAAAGCTGTGTCTCTGAAACGCACACTAAGACTGGCATCCAAAATCATTATCCACAGTTTGATTAATACCAGGAGGGAAAAGTGAGGAAAAAGTAAGACCGAAGAGAAGAGAAGAGAAAAAAAAGAGGAACGCCCCAAGGCAGAAATAACATGGAGGAAAAGAAAAGTGCAGACTGTTCAGTAGTGTAAGCTTCCCTGAGCAGAGCAGCAAACCAGCGCTAGCCTTAAAAAGGGTTTCTTGTGTGCTTTGGGGGAGGGAGGAGAGAGGGATACAAGATAATCTTGTTAAAGACAGTGTCAGATTACGGGTGCTGTACAACAGGACGGCTTTCTCCCTGCTCTGAAGGCTGCCTGTGCCCCAAACTGGAAGAATGGCCGTGTGATGTCAGGCTTCGATAAGGTGAAGAGTGCAAAAGCAGGGTGTGAGGAACGCTGGGTCCCTGGCTTGTCTGCACAAGATCCCCTGGGAAAGAGGATTGACCTAATTTTGTTTTGATTTTTGTTTTCTTTCATCCTTTTTTATTTGCTTTTCTTGGTGCCTCTGCAGGATATTAATTAAAATGACAATGACATTCTGATTTTTGCCTTTTAAGTGGGGCCACTTCCATTTCTGCTCCTTTCTCAGAAAGGGAGATCTAAGCAGGGGATATTGTCTCTAAGCTAGCAAGAGAATGAAGAAAATAAAGTGAAGCTGAGTATAGTGTGGCTGAATAAGATAGGGTCCAATATCTGTCTCTGCCCACAGAGAGAAGTAAACTCATCAACCTATCATGCGAATGAGTAACGACCAGAAATTTACCCAACAAACTCTCAGTTTTATTTACTAAAATAAGTACATGGTAACTGCATTGCTAGAAAAGCTGTCTTTTTTGCGTTGTTTAGTTTACTGACCTCTTCTTAAAGTGCCTCAGTTTCTTTCTGCCAGGCCACAGACTGATGCGTTCTTTTAAAAGTGCTGCTTGGAGGTTCCTGCTTCTGCAGCTGAGTTGCCACAACTGATCATGGGGCACTCTGTGTTGAGCAAGCTCAGCCACATTAACTCCAACCGTCTTCACTGGTGGCTTAAACTAACCTGCCTTGACCTTGCGCTGAAGCGAAGGAGTAGTGCTCACCTCTTCACGTCCACGGCCTTTGTGACAGTAAAGCAGTAAATACCAGCAGAAAGTCAGGAGCAAACAGCTGGTTGCAGTAACATCTTGTTGAAACAAGATTTGTTAGTACTTCTATATAATAGCCTTGAGCTTCTGATATGAGAGATATAGAGCTATACTGATCAGACCAAAGATTCATCCAATCCCGTACCTTGTTTCTAACAGAGGCTGTTAGCAGATGCCTAGGGAAGTATATAGGACCAATGGAAGGATGTTGCGATGTTTGTTAGCCTCGTCTCCTAGCGCTCAGCAGTTTTGTCCTAATGTAAACCTGGCTGGCTGCTGAGGGTTAAACCAATTCTAACTATTCATTCCGAAGCCTTACAAAAATTATTAAATCTGTACGTAACTTAGGGAGACCAGTATGGGAGGGGAGCGCAGAGGAGGGAGGAGGTTTGATCTGCTTAGGGGAAAAGGTATCAGAAGATTCTATGTTGCAAAACTTAGCTTTCAAAAACCTGAAAGCTGATGGAATCACAGCCCCTCACCTAAACACCTACATGTATGTGGAGAGCAATAACTGAAGATGAGATCCATCAAAGTGAGTGCTGAGCAGGAACCCTCCTCCAAGTTAGATATTTGGACAGGCTGAGGAGCTAGGTGGGACTTCATTCCTATTTGCCTTGGGTTCTTTGGCTTCTCCAGCCCTGAGGATTCACAGCTATAGGTCCTGCCCTTGAGCTAGGGGATCAGTCATATTTGTTTTGCAAGACGCTATGAGGAGAAAGCGTTGATTCCCTTCTGCCCTCTGCTACCTGTGGGCAACAACAATCTATTGCTTTGAGCACTGTTACGGACTACGGGAAAGGGGGTTTAAATCCCTCCTCTGGTTTTGAAGACTTTGGCCAGTATCTCCTCCCTCTCAGGAGACTCTTTTCACCACCAGGTTGTGTGGGACTCGGTCGTGGCTGGTGAGTTTTTCCAGTCTGTGTGTGTGGCACATGGAGCGGAGGTCCATCCATCCTGAACGAGTTTCCTGACTCGTGTACTCCAAAATCATTCTTAGTTTTGTCCGAGTTTGTCGGCGTATGCCAAGGTGCCCGTGAATCAAATCTGAGTCAGAATTAAGCTAAATTGATGGGAGACTTGTTAAGCCAATATGCCTCCCTGCTAGCTGGTCACACGGATTTATTTAAATCAGTTTCTAGTTCATTTTCATGCATGGGCTTTATATAGAAAAGGCTTAAGATGATCCAGTGCAGACTATTCAGTAGCACTTAGCAGAAGCCACAAAACAACTTTTAGTCACCACTGATCTGGGCTAAATTTTAACTGCAGGAGTATTTATGAGACGAGGGGCAGGCTTTGTATTCTGCTTGCCTTCCTCTGAGCCATTTAGTCCATCCTCTGATTAGTTCTTCATTTCAAACCAGGCAGTACGACACTGCATTCATGAGCAGCCCTCTATGCTTTATCCTGTGAAACCTTATTTCAGTCTGGTAACGTAAATCCTTCTCTAGCTTTCAGTGTTATTAATAATTTCAGATCATTCTAGCAAATGAGTGGGGTGGATCTACTTTTTGTACCTCTTTCTGTAGAGCTTGCTCTCTTGAGTATTTCCAAATTAAATGAAATCTTGATCACTGATGCTGTCCAGCTTCAACCTTATTTATCACGTTTGGCTCATCTCCTGGAATTAGGGACAGAAAAGCTCCTGACTTGGAAAGCTAATCAAAAAAACACTTTAAAATTCTGCTTTCTAGAAAATAATTCCCTTGTGTAGATTTTGAAGGGTTGTTATCCTAAGCCAAATAGAAATTCATATAAGTTTTGAATCAGTGACAATATTTTTCATAACTGGAAATACCCTTTTTAAATTTATTTATTTTGCTTTGGCTCTTTCGTAGTTCTGAAAGATTATTGCCTGAGATCTGAGACTTGGGTGTTTCTTTTATTTGTTAGATCTGAGAATAAAGCTGTCACTGCCATTAAATTTTTATTGGCCTTGTTCAGTCTTTTCAAAATTTCACAAGTTTGCTGTCACAAAGGGGAGAAGAGACTGTGAGGTTAATGTTACAAACAGATGTTATAATTAAAATTAAATAGCGTGATAATATTTTTCAGCCCTGACTATGGGTCCCGTTTCATGCCACGGCACAGCATGCTGGAGCGTAGTTTCATGGTGCCAGACCTGTCTTGTCCCAGCAGAGAAGCTGAGCCCTCTGGCTGCTGGGATGGGATGCAAAATGGCCCTGGAAAGGAAGAAGTCGAAGAGGAAGGCATATGCATAGATTTTTTTCTCTTAAAGCAGCGTGAATTACAATGCGAATGGCATTGTGATTTACTGCTGCTCTGAGCAGCAGCGTTTCCCACTGCCTAGTCCTTTCACCCTGCAAAGAGAATATGGGTAGGTGACCGGTGGTCTTGCCAGCAGCGGTACAGAAAAAGACAGGCAACCATTAGCATAGAGATCTAAGATGGGTAAAATTAGAAGGAACAGACTTGCTCTTCATGTCGCCTCTTCGTTAGACATCGTACCCAAGCTTTTTGGTTACTCAGCTCTTCATCCATTAATAAGCAACAGGTCAGGGGCTACGTCTGATGCAGTAAGTTCTTCCTCCCTTTTTACGTTCTGAAGAGCATACAAGCCATTATTTTATAACGGCTGCCCATTGCTTAGACGGAAAGGCTGATACAGTATGACTAATACTCCTAAAGGACGGAGGGTAAGAGCTGTTCATGCAAAGTAATTACATTGTACATAACCTGGAAGCTTTTGATTGCCATACTCAATAAAGGAAAACGGAGCAATGTTAGAAAACATGCTGAAACTTTTCAGGCTGGATTGATTTAAATAAATGGCATGCCACGACGTTACATCCTTAAACTGTTCCTTAAAATTAACCTTACCTTGTTGCAATGTAAAATAGTGGGAACAAAGGAAGAAAAAATGCTTCTGGAGTATGCCTTTTCTCCCACATCCTCGTTCAAATTTCTGCTTTTATTGTCTTGTATGGTTTTCTTTTTCCCATTCTATTTCTCCTCATCTTTCTAATTTCCCTCGCTTGTGCTTTTTAATAGATTATCTATGTCTTGTGAGACAACAGATTCTATATCAGATTGGTTTGTGTTTAGCAATAGACACAAGGCCAGAAAGGATGTAGGACATATGGATGTAGGAGTATGAGATGTGGTATAGTGCTTTTGTGGCCAGTATCTTTCTTAGATAAAGATAGCAGTATTAAAATGAGTAACTGTCGTGCTAACCGTCCTGAGCATACGTGTACTTCCGTCCAAGGAGAAAAACAGCAGGTGTGTGCTTAACAGATGAACACATGTACACCAGAAGCTAACCAGTTTTGCGGAGGGGGGGACCCCCCTCTAAGGAAATAACTGCCAGAATTGTTTTGCAAGAGCTACTGAGCTGTCTAAGCGGTGGATAGAGAAGAGGTGCAGAATTCCCACAGTAGGATCTATTCCTGCCTGCCTTGTCTTGCAAGTTGACTTAAGACAAGTAAAGTTTGGCTGGCGCTCTGTGGGTGCGGTTGTTGAAGGCAAACTTTCTTTCCTGTTTGGAATAGAATGTGAGAAGATGCTGGTTTACATCCATGTTAGGAGGTCAAGGTGTTGGTTGGATCATGCATTTGTGAGCAGGAGCTTTGTTGGTCATAGTTCCCCTGAAGCTGTGGTTACTCATTCAGTTTCATAAAACAAATTCAGGTGCCTACTGAGAAGAGTGAGTAGGCTGTCCATGCATCTTTCTTTTTCCTGCTCTCTTCCTGGCACTGGCACAAGCATTCGTGTGGCCGTGTTGCTAGTTTTTAGCTAGATCCAATCCCTGTGATCACATGAATGTTTGTGCTGCCATGAGGAATGGGACTGGAACAATTGGTAGGGAGCAGGACTCTGTCTTTGAGCAGCATCGCAGTCTTGTGCCGGGTTAAAATGGCTAGGTAATTAATTTTGTTGCCGACAAAGCCAGTTCTGCAGATTTGGAGACCGAAGTCCTTTATCTTTTGAAAGCCAGGTGCTTCCTAGCTTCCACTTGTTTCTTTCTGTATTTCTACTTTCCTCTAAGTTCAGTTTTACCAAGAGCCATTACGTAGAAAGGCAACCACATCTCCAGAGTGGCTTCAAGAGCTTTCAGCAAATCCATGCTATCCACTTGAGTGGATAGCATGGTTGACGTGGGCCCAGGGGCCTGTGGGGAGGAATCTTTCCAACCCATCACCAGGACTCATGTTTGGCTTCCCCCATTTTATTATAGCTTGAGTCCCTTCAACCCATGGGGCCAGTTATAGCTTCCTCTCATGTGTGCTTATTGGCTCTGCCACAGCATCTCTTGGTGCAGGTAGGTCTTTGTAACATAGCTAGAGGTTGGTCTCAGACTGTCACTCCAGATGTTTTAAATGGTGTATATCCTGTTGGATGGTTCTAAGCTACTCATACCAGCATGGTCTCTCCTCCCAT